AAGTTTATTTCTTCCGAGCTGAACTTGAGGACTTCTGACTCCTTAAGTAAATGTGAGACGAGAAATTGAGTTTCATTTTCGAATATATCAAAGACGGGAGTATTCATTTCTGGGACGCTTTTTGGTACATTTCATACAAAAATATAAAAATATTAAGTGAAATAAGAAAAAAATATGTTTCGTTCTCATTCAAACGCTGTTTTCTTCATGACCTTGAGACATATTTACTAGATAATAACACATACTCAAAGACATACTCACCCGAATTATGAAGCAATATTTTATTTTCGAAAATATTAGAAAATACCTAGCCTACAGAAGCCTAAATATTTTTACAAAGTTATGTTTGTAGCTGGAAAAATTTCAAATTCATAAATTTTGTATGCAAAAATAAGATTACCAACCGCAAACGCATATTTCTCAATTGTCGCTAAACCATTCCAGATAGAGAAATGCCTTCATAGGAAATGTTGTTTATACTGAAGAGTTGTTTATGCTGATATATAGAAATTGAAGATCTGGAGTACTTGATGCGGAACATCAACAGCCCAGCTAAACTATTCGAGATACTGTAATGTCTTCTTAAACATCAAGTACTCCAGATCCTCAATTTCTTTATTCCAACAAAAACATAGGCGTGATTGAAGTGTTGTCTGCGGATTCCTTTGAAGCCTACCTAACTAACAACAGCCAGTAGCAAGTTTGAAAATATTCTATCACATGGTAATTAATTGGCTGGAAGTCACCTTCAAAATTATGGGTTTCCCAGAAGCATAACTCGAAAAGTATAAGTCCTATCAACATCTACCCAAGAACAATTATGTAGACAATTTTATAAGGAATATTTCATACCTTGACAAATTTCTCCTATCTTTAATCATTTCCGAGAAAAATAAAGATAACTAAAATTTGGGACATAAAAGGGGGGGTAAAGGGGGAAGCAGGGGTCCAACTTGCTTCCCTTCTTTTCCTAAAGCTTACACATGTAAGCTACACACATGCCAAGTTTCATGATTTCTGCCAGATGGGACCATACCTCCATACAAACTGCCAATTAAGAACTCGGACTAGATTAGATTAGATTATTTATTTTGTATTATCAAATTCAAAGTTACAATAGATGACATAAAATAAAAATGTCAAAGGATAATACAATCGTCAAACTAAATAAAATTGAAATAAATTATAAATTAATAACAATGTCAAACAGAATAAGTGTAGAAAATTATCAAAAAGCCAAAGAAACTTTTAATAATAATGTCTACTCTTTAGTACTACCTAATGTCAATATCAAATAAAATAAATAAAAAATAAGAAGAATGTCAACTTATCAAATAAATCAATCAAACACACACTTGGAGGAAGGCTAGGTATGGAGACGCTATACGAAGAGCTTCCCCTCTGTCACGGCCTATGCCCACTTGGGCTTATCTTATTACAAAAACCAGTTGCTGTCAGATCTTTTACTAGAACGAGTCCAGTCGCGCATGTCAAATGAGCTCCGATAAAAAGCCGAATTGTAGAGATAATAATGCCTTTAAAAATATGTAAAAATACAAATTTACAACAAAACAATATCACTTTTCATCTGAAAGTATTCCTCCAGTACAATATCACTAAATAATATATAAAATTAGCGATTGAAAATTGTACATAAGTGTTGCCAGTAAGTCGTACAAAATGTCTGATGTGGAGTGTTTTTGTAGGTGGATCTACAATAAAATAATTGTATTTTGTTCCTTTTGTTATTATTTTGTGTCGAACAATGGTGTTAATCATAGTATCGTTAATTTACAAAAAGATTATAATATTCCACCATATAATAGGTAACAATTAACGATCTTAGTTTATTGATGCCTTTAAAAACAGTAAATAGCTTGCTAAGTAAGATTAGAATGTTAGTTTGGGATTGTTCTACTTATTCAATGATGGTCATTTCCAGTCGATATTCAATGAAAAACGATAATTTTAACTTGAAGTATCGAGCCACACTCAACCCAAGCTAGTGCAGTGACCGTAATACAAAACGTCGATACTTTTTCTATCGCCATAGTTACAAACCTATACTATGTAAAGACGGTCTGTACCGAAAACTTTGCAGGCATGATCAGATTATGAAATTGAACAACTTTTACTATGGATTTTGGGAAACCCTGATTTTGTTCGAGTTTCATTGAAAATTAATGTCAGTCTCAGCTGATCGGGTGACATCGGATGTCAGCCGACGTGGCGCAATGGCTAGTCCGACTGCCTGTTCAATTCCTTTCGCTCACAAAGTTGAAATTTATCACTTTGTGAATATGTTCCTAGACTGGTCAGGACACCACACAGGCTGAATCACGTGATTGTCCGAGAAGCAAGATGGTTCCGTGCTTTGGAGCCATGTTCAGCCGTCGGTCCCGGTTGCTGTCTATGGTCACTTAGACGGCTGTCGTTACACAACTATTTCAAAGGCCTGCTTCATGCAGTAGGTGGTTGAAAAGCACTGGCACCAGGGTTCATCAGGTCGTTGGACGTTTTGGTGTCCTTTAAACTGTTTAAACTTAAGTGCGACATTTTAACTTTAATTATATATATAAAAGGATTTCGCACTTACCTACTTCTTATTACATCGCGGTTTCGCGACCGTTTCAGTCCAGTCGGTGGTCTTTTATCAGCCGAAGTGCTCAGACAAAACACAAATATTTGAAAATTTACTTTATAAATATTTGTGTCCGGTGAAATCAAACCCACGAGCCTCGGCGTAGAAGACAGATAGATAGTCGAAGTTATTATGTATGACTTGTTGTATAGATGGTTTTTAGTAAATTCCTTACATAATATCCTATGATACTTAATGATCAGTAAATAGAAGGTAGGTATTGCATTGATTGTACCTACATAATTGTATTATCTGGTCTATGGGGAAAAATTCATATTTTGGTTAATTTATACCTTATGCAATATTTAAAATGATGTTATTGCGCCTATATTTCTATTTACTACAAAATCCTATTCTCAAGAACTAAGTTGCTTTTGAAAATGCAATAATATGACACAATATTGAGTAGACTGATGTAATTAATCGAAAGGTCAAGTATCGATATTGTCGATTCCAACACTAGCTTGATTTGACAGCTTTACCTCTCCCCCCGCAAAAAATGGCAGAAATATTTGTATAGAGTAAAGTAGCTATAACGACTCCCCTCGGGCCGGAACGGGACGGAAGATGCTCGAAGAACACACATGACGCCAGTGAGAGTATAGTATTCTTTGCACACATGTCAAAAATCAATGTCAAACTCGTCAAACTGTAACGTAATATAAAGCAAAATATTGACAAAATATAAAATAAATAGAATACAAAATGTACATGTTAGTTTAGGTACTACATATTTATAGTAGATTCAAATTTATATAATAAAAATTCATAAACAGAGCAAAATTCGTTTTCCAGCAAAAGACATTTTAGTTGGCGATAAAATGCTTCGCGGGTTTGCTGTGGCCATTCCGTAAGGCGACGTACGCAGGACAGCCTACCTACGTTACGTAGTGACTGCCCCCCACAAAGCCGTCGATCGAATTGATTGATATTGCGGCGTACATCATCATCATCTTCTTCCTGCCCTTATCCCAATTACTTGGGGTAGGCGCAACACGTTCTGTTGAACACAAAATCGTGTTGCAAAAGAATTTGGCTTTATTTTACGACCGGCCTCCTACTTGGGAATGCTTTTGTGGTGGATTGACCGCCCCACCATACGATTGGCCCTGGCTAGGTCGGGTTTATCCCTCGGTCGCCTCTTACGACCCCCACGGGAAGAGAGGGGGTGGTGCTATTCTACTCTGCCGGAACATATGAAATTAATTCAAATAGGTATAGGCTAGTCATCGTCATTACACCGTTTTCTTTAAAATGGGTCCTACAAGTTTGACGAGGCCCTAGTCTGGCCAATATACGGATTGCACGTTTTTGTAGTATAAAAACGCTATTGGAATTGTTTTCGCAAATATTGGTCTGTTAGTTGCTAGTGTTGCTACCTTTCGTTGCTGGGACACCCTTTCAACCGCCTACTGCAAGTAGCGGGCCTCTGACATGGTTGTGTAACGACCGCCATCATAGTGATAAATATCAACTTTGTGAGCGACCCCACTGGGAATTGAACCCGGAACCTTCTGCGTGGCAGGCAGTCATACCTAACCACTGCGCCACATCGGCTGTCGGCTACATAATATCTAAAATAGTATAACTTATTCAATATTTGCATTACTATTTTCCAGACTGGGTCTGTCTCTGCCTAACCCCGCGCCGGACGTCGAGTTGGAGGGTCCGGAGCCTCATCTCAACATACATCCGCCTCTACCACACACAGGTAATATTATTGTCACATACACTATAGTAAGTTTATACCAGTGTAAAATTTAGGCGATAGGCTGACAACCAGTCACTATAGTAATACACGAAAAACCGATGTGGCGCAGTGGTTAGTATGCCTGCCTGCCACGCAAAGGTTCCGGGTTCAATTCCCGGTGGGGTCACTCACAAAGTTGATATTTATCACTTTGTGAATTTGTTCCCAGTCTGGTTAGGACATTGCAGGCTGAACCACCTGATTGTCCGCAAGTAAGATGGTTCCGTGCTTCGGATGGGCACGTTAAGCCGTCGGTCCCGGTTGCTGTCTATGATGGCGGTCGTTACACAACCATGTCAGAGGCCTGCTACTTGCAGTAGGCGGTTGAAAAACTCTGACACCAGGGTTCATCGGGTCGTTCAACGACTCGGTTTCCCACACGAAAAGAAGAAGAATACACGAAAATAGCTAAAACTACCCTTAACTTTTTGTCAGACGTGGCGATAACGACAGTTTTTTTACGTCTGTTGACGCTCTCTGCCTAGACGCTCTCTGTCGTAAAAAATACGGTCGTTATCGCCACGTCTGACAATTCCCCGCAAGGGTTAAATGCGCGATTTATGTATGTATGTATGTCACATACGCATGTCGTGTTACGCGTTAATTCATTAGCGTCCGCCGGGACTTGAACCCGGGACTGTGGGGTACCGTCCCAATGCTCTGCCAATTGAACTAGCCTGGCAGAACCTGATGAATTGTACAATCTCTTGGTGCTCGTTTCGAAGCGACGATTTAAGCGACATTTAGGAGAATTTGTCCACATTCTGAGCTAATTTTATCTTATTTGGTTCCTTCCTTTTAGCGCCAGAAGACGCGGGTCCGTCTAGCGAGCCGAAACGCAAGAAGTACGCGAAAGAGGCGTGGCCGGGACGGAAACCGGGACTCATTCCCGGGGTGTGAGATTCGATGTATCAAGTGTTTTGAACTGTGTAGTTACACCGGTAAGTTAAGTAGTTAGACAAGTTATGTAGAGAAAGAAGGTACTCTGTTTTTAGTGTTCCCGTAAAGAACAGAGAAAGAAACGTATTTTCTTGAAGTGTAAATTACTGTAGTTTTAGTTTTACTATACTTCCAAGTCGACTCTCTACCTACTCGATAAAACACGCACTTGTAAGCGTGGCTGAGATGTAAATCCGGGCTGAATCCAGGGCCTTTTTTCAATTTTTTAGCTATTAAATGCCAGCGACGTTCAACGGGTCATCCCATTGCCACTGTGATTTTCTATTCTATACTAAAAACTGTTAGTAGAATACAAAACTACCAAAACCATCCAACTGACATGCCATCGACACACAACTGAAACGATTTTTACTAAGCAGTTTTTGGCCCCTGGAATGTGACTTAAAATCGCAAAGAACAGCGCATAAAACATTGATGACATACTCTAGAGACCCAGAAAAATATTGTATCGATTTATTTAAGATGTCTCAAGATAATACTTTCTGCTAATTTATTTTAGTATTCGAAAACAATCCGATCTAAGTAGTCGCAGGCCCAGACTAGAAAGAGAAAACTTATCAATTATATAAAAACACTACATACTACATTACATTTACGCATGTTTTATAAGTTAACCATGGTTATGATTATGATTATACTGTAAGATAATACAAGAAATTAAAAAAACCTAGCTAGAGATGTACAGAATGTATGTGAATCGGTAAAATAAATAAAGGTGGATAAAAGTAGTATTTTTACGCTACCTATAAAAATATCTACGATCACTTATTTGCAGACATTTTTCATTTCTTGGATTACTTTCTTTCCATAAATTTGGCCTAAGAGGCCAGTGCTAAAAATTCAGTCTTTTTTTTAAATGGAAGATATTGCTTTTGTCTGCTATCTCACCTGTTGGTTAGTGTAGTGTCTTTATTTTACCAGTCTAATGTAATTTTACCGAAAAAAGTAGCTGCTCGGTGGAGTACAATACAGGGAGTAACAAAAAGGTATAACAAGCCGAAAGGAGGTCAAAATACCTACTCATGATACTGAACAACTTTCCCCATGGAACATGTCACCTGTAAGTTAAACTAAACAGAAACTTGTCAAATTGTCAACTATGACATAATTTTCGCATTGTCAGTTTTATTGAATAGGCCCCTGGGCCTCATTTAATAACAATCTGTCAAAATTGTCAAAAGCCTACAAATTTATCGAATAGTCAATGACAATTCGTCAAATTTGTAGGTCCTTGCCATTTTTCTGTCGTTTTTGTACATAATTGTCACTTTTATTAAACGTGTTATAATTATAACTAATAGTGATAATAACTTGTCACCATCGTAAATGCGTTTAATAAAACTCAGATTCCATGTTCGAGACTATTGACAATTATCAGTGACAAGACTGTCGCATTGTCGCGACATTTACGTCAGTTTCTGACATAATTGTCAGACTTGATTTTATGCACGCTAGTGAGAGTATAGTATTCTTTGATTTTATGTAACAATTAGTTATAAAATGATACATACAATTATCTACTGTATTGTATCCCATATACTAGTTGCTTCTGTGAATGGTCTCCCTCCATTCGCTCTCTGATTCGTGGAACGTCAAATGCAAAAATTATTGACTTGTTCTTTGGCGGCTCCGGAGTTATATAGGGTTACATTTAAATTAAGTACAAATCCCTTGAGGGTGTGATCTACTCACAAAACTGAACAACTTTTGTTTGAAACTTTTCTTCGAAATATGTAAAAGAATTTTGGCCCTCCCATACAAAAATGCTGAAAAAGTGTGTCTCTTAGTATGGGAGGTCCATTTTTTTTCATATTATTATTTCAAAGAAAAGTTCTAACAAAAGTTGTTCAGTTTTGTGAGTAGATTACACCCTCGAGAGATTAACTTAATTAAATATAACCGTATATTTGTACTAAACATACCTTACCACTACTTCAATACTATCATTGCTTAACGTAAGCACCATTTTTGGGTAATATTGTGTATTTTCGCATTGTCAGTTTTATTAAATCAGATGTTTATAATGGGAGGCCGAATTGTATTTTCATATTATTATTTAGATTCACGTTTCATGGGTAAAGTTGTTCAGTTTCATGGGTAAAGTTGTTCAGTTTCATGAATACCTTACCGTCCTTTCGGATTGTTATACCTTTTTTGTTACTCTCGTATATTTGCCTGCTATTTACACAGATTTAAAATTTCATAAAACCACGTTACTTAGGTAACTAAGAGCACCATAGTTTTAACAGAATACCTATGTTCGGTATACATTTTAGCTATGAAACACATTTTGGAATGATTTGTATTGTACAGTATGTATGGCGGTATGGTATGGTTTAATTGTATGAGTGTGAGGTGAGAAATAAAGTGTTTTTATCTTTATATCTGTTTTTCAATAATTTTTATAACATTTTTCCTTATTTTTAGCGTAGTGCAGTTTAGTGTAGTGTCAGTATCAAAAAGTCACCGGGTCAAAAATGTATTAATCAATTTATCATTGTGGCATTGTTCTTAGTTAGATAGAATACTACATTGTTGAATCACTTGATTGTCCGTAACGTGAGTAGTCCCATTGGTGGAGACGTTGCTAGTATTGATAGCTAAAGTCGCAGGTTCAAATCCTTCCTGTGGTAGAAAATTATGCACCAGTGTTTCTTCCCAATAATTCTAGTGGTCCTGGAGGATTTTCACGATAAGTTTTCAACTCAAAATAACGTAAGTACGATTTACAGTTGCGTAGTTACTATACTATCAACATTCAACAATATCTTTATACTGGGTGTTACAAAACAACCAATAAAGCTGAAAGGAGGTCAAGGTACTCATGAAACTGAACAACTTTTCCCATGGAACATGATCGAAATATAAAAAAAAAATTGAACTTCCCATACAAAATGAACTCACTTTGTATGGGAGATTTATTGGTTGTTTTGTAACACGTTGTATAGCTGTGGTCGTAATTTAGTTGCCAAGTAAGCCTGTAAGCCAGGTTGGTTGCGTAATAACATAATCCAGGTTCACCTGTTGCCTTCTGATTAAGATATTCGACCTTCTTAGCTAACTTACTATGTAGATACTGTCAGCAGCATATCAAGCTGCCCGTATTAGGAATCAATTTTAAACTCGAAAATTAACCAGTATTTAGACGCTTACTGCCTTTAACTAGAATCTCAAAGGAACTCAATGTAACTTAGAAGATGGTTGCCACGATCGGCATGTTTCTTGGATTAAAACTGGCTCAGAATCATATTATGACGTTGTAGGTATCAGATTTTGCTGTTTTGATCTAGACACACGGCAGTGTGTCCGCCAAGTTCGCGCAAAAAACCGACACATCGGCCGTGGGTTATTATATTACACGAACCATTTCGGGCCAAGTTCGACCCACCTATAACTCAAAATCTATTTTATCTAAGCATATGAAATTTCTAGTATCTGTCGAGATCTACTTACTTATCTAAAATACAAAATTTCATTAATGTACCTACCTATTGTAGGTTTTGAGATATTGACGTCAGAAAATCGCTATTTTTACTACACACTCACTGACTGACTCACTCACTCAACAAAAACCTAGACCACTTCCAATGGTCGTATTGACTTGAAATTTGGCATGGAGGTAGGTCTTTAGGTCAAGGTAAAGGAAAAAATCTGAAAATGGCCAAGTGTGAGTCGGTTTTAAAAATAATGAAGGTGTAAATTCATACCCCTAAGCAACTACAACAAAAAAATTATCTATATCTTCCAATGGTCGTACCGACCTAAAATTCGTTACGAAGGTTTGTATTTAGTCAAAGTAAAGTAAAAATCTGAAATCGGCCAAGTGTGAGTCACTTAAACCTTACAAAAATAAATGAAATCCTACCCAAAACATAAATGTGAAAGGCTGCCAAGTTCGATAATATTGGAATGCTTCGCCTATAAAAGAAGTGAGATCTAAATAAGTACCAAGTTCCATACACAGACCTCAGTTAAAAATAGTTACAGGAATGCACACTTGATTTTCCGCAGTTTGGAAAGTAGATTCTGAATAAATATCACATTAAATACCTAAAATTCTAATACTTACAAAAACGCAAACCTGTTTTTTCAGCTAACATTTTTATTTATTTTTTCTGTACTTTTTAATGATATAACTTGGCAAGTTTTAATAGAAAATTATATACTTGACTCATTGTGTTTAGTAGGTTTATAACAAAGTGTGTGAAAACTTGCCAAGTTATATCATTAAAAAGTACAGAAAAAAAAATGTTATAAGGAAACTGCTGAAAAAACAGGTTTGCGTTTGTGTAAGTATTAGGATTTTAGCTATTTAATATGATATTTATTCAGAATCTACTTTCCAAACTGCGGAAAATCAAGTGTGCATTCCTGTAACTATTTTTAACTGAGGTCTGTGTATGGAACTTGGTACTTATTTAGATCTCACTTCTTTTATAGGCGAAGCATTCCAATATTATCGAACTTGGCAGCCTTTCACATTTATGTTTTGGGTGGGATATTCTTATACTTTAAGATATTTGACAGTAGCAACCCTGGCAATGTAACAAGTGACAATCGCAAAAATCCCTAATAGTGTCGATTGATCCTTCGTTCGACTGTCTAACCGAACGTGAGCTTGATTGTACCTACCTTACAATACAATACAATACAAATATGCTTTATTGAACAAGAAAAAATAAAATACCTTACTATACTATATCTTCATAACCAAAGTG